GAAGGAACGAAGGAATGAACAGCTGAGTTTTATTGCTGATTTTATATATCCATAATTTGAAATAAAAAACGAAAATGCTTGGGAGAAGAAAAACAATCCTATTAAAATGAAGCGCTACGTAAACATGACATAATAAAAATATTAATAAAGAACGCGTCCTTGAGGCAATAACGAAAATAGTAAAAATAATATCGATAATAAAGAATAATAAACAAAAAGTATGCTGAACTTATCATTCTTCATCTTCTTAACAATCCACGGCCATTCATCAACCAGTGTGAATTGTAAGTGCTTTTTTTCAAAAGCCTCGACTACAAACACAAAATACACTTGAAAATGTGTTGCTTGCATGTGGTAGTCAGGGATCTCCCTGCATCCGAACTCTGTCACGGCTAAAGTCGTGCCAGGCGCCTTACCCTCTACACCATGGCACACGCACGCATTATCTTTCATTTAAATCCACCGAGACAACGCCCTCTTACGCGAGAAGATTGTGAATTAATATTCAAGAGTGAAAAATTATGCTTAAATGAAGAAATTGTCGAATTTTTACAATTTTTTTTATATTGAAAAGTTTTTTGATTTCTAAAGTACATAAAAAAATATTGAACAAAAATTAAAATTCCATAATTTGGTTCACGCCATGAAGCAACACTCCCTTTGAACACCCAGTTTTCGTTCATTTGAATTTTTTGAAAAGCAGCCAGCTTGTTGATACGATCCCCTGAGATTCTCTCTCCTCTCTCTCTCTCTCTCACTCTCTCTTTTTCTCTCTCTCTGCAGCGGTTGTTGAACTCGGTCGTTGCGACACACAATACTTGTGGCTGGCTGCTCTAATTTGTACAAGGCAAATGAAATGTAATGTAAATGTTTGCAAAGGAGGAAACTTAATGACTGCATGCAGATTATTACAAGCAGGAGACGTATGTCATGTACTTGAACAACATTCAAACGAATGTGCACAAGCACTTTTCAAGTTACTCGACCAAGTTTGGCTGCGACATGAGAAAGTGGCGTCCGAGTCTTGGTACCGAAGCTAAGCTCTCTTCCTTCACGACTGTTACGGCCAATGCAAATCTCTACGTCCACCAGTCTTGCACGAAAGTCTCGAGACTCAGGGTCCTACTCGTCATCATTTGTTACTAGCTGCTCGTTACTTTTGAGATTATTTTCTTTTTACTTTTTAATTATGAAATCATGTCTTAAGAGTGATAAATATGAACTGACGTAATCTTAAAAATGTTTATTAACTTTTAGAAAAAAATATGAAGACAAATTTCATTTCAGATTTCTTTTGGAAATTTGAATCGGTAGGTCAAAACGACAAACAGATCAAAGTCAAATGCACTTGTCATCTTTTCATCGGGAATAGGACCGACACCGGGTTCCAATTTACATTAACCATAAAATATCCGGGCTTACGACAAAATAACGACACGCAGTGTTCCAGAAATCGAACAGGGTATAAACATATCTGCAGACGTAGAGCAACTATATTTGATCCACAAAAGCTGGAACATGTTTTCTGCCAGTTAAATGGGACTTACGATGATATATCGTTCAGTTATTCGACATCGAGAAGTTTGCCGTTAGAAAGTTTACCGTTAGAATGTTTGTGTCTATGTCTGTTTGTCTGCTTGACTGTGTATATATTTGTCTGCTTGTCTGTTATCTATGTATGTGCTACGATTTCTTTGAAACGAGGAACTTGTTAAAAATGTACACATTAGTTCATAGAAAGCGTCTATTTAATATTTATTTAATTATTAGAATACGTACCAATTATAAATTCGCAGAAATAATTAAAAAATATTTACTATTCTAATCAAACGAACAAACAAACCAACAACGAACGAACGAACGAACAGTTGAAGAGGTCAGGAACGTATCGGTGAGAGAGATAAGGACCTGCGTCAACAACGCGACAACTTTCAAAATTTCAGCCAGCGGCTTCCCGAGTCCAAAATTTAAAGATTTTGGTTGCACGTACGTAAACAAAAGCACCGTCATTGGTGTTCGAAGCCAAAAATTTTTCACCGTCGAGAATGACGAGATAACATTTAAACTGCCTGGCAGTTACACGTGCTCCTGTTATGTTTCCAATAAACATTCAGCCCTAAATTCGAGCTACGTGAATTGGGGGGATGTCATTCTGGTTGAGAACTGTGGTTAGTGTTTGTTTTAACATCGTTTGTGGTTTCTGGCTGTGAAAGTTATCATCATCATTCAATTAGTCAGTCTTTTTTGTTTTTGTAGGCTCTCCCAATCTGATATGTTTCATAATCATGAAAAAATCCGCACAATCGTTTCTAAGTTGTATCTATCTCGTCTATCCTATCAATCTATCCTATCCAGCAATCCTATCTCGTCTATCCTATCAATCTATCCTATCCAACAATCCTATCTCGTCTATCCTATCAATCTATCCTATCCAACAATCCTATCAATCTATCCTAGCCATCCATCGCCTATTTTTTCACTTTTTATTTTGTTTCTATGCTTTTCTGTACCGAAGTCTATTTTGAGATCATATGCTATTTTTGATACTTGCTCCTATTTTTAGATGAACTTATTATTATAATAAATAATAATAATAATATTATATTATTTTTTATAAAATCATAATTAACAGCTCCAAGTTAGTTCGTGTGTGTGGATTATTAAAACCATTTTCAAATCGGTAACAATGGTGAATAAAGCTGCTATAACTACAACTTCTACTACAACTACTACTACTACAACAAGAACAACTACTACTACTACTACAACTACTACTACAACTACTACTACAACTACTACTACAACTACTACTACTACTACAACAACAACTACTACTAATACTAATACAACTACAACAACTACTACTACTAACACTACTCCTACTACTATTACTACTACTACTACTACTACTTCTTCTACAGCTACTACCACTACTACTACTACTACTAATAATAATAATAATAATATTCATAATTACCCATAATTATTCAAAATTATGAAAGGACCGACAAACATCAAAGTCGACAATGCAGATAGATCAGCGAATGAAATTTCAGTAGTATTGCCATCTTTAACGCTCGTTGCAGTTTGGATTGCAGTCATTTCTGCGGCTGTTTTGTACGCGAGAGAGAGAAAAAGTAGGTCTATAGGTTATAATTATGACAGGATAATTACGGACGTGTGATTCTAATGGAGGTTAATTATGACGGAATAATTATGACCGTTTGCTTATAATGGAGGACAATTATGACGGAATAATTACGGACGTTTGATTCTAATGGAGGTTAATTATGACGGAATAATTATGACCGTTTGCTTATAGTGGAGGATAATTATGACGGAATAATTACGACCGTTTGCTTATAATGGAGGTTAATTATGAGGGAATAATATTGGTGGTTTGATGATGAAGATGATGACGATGTTCAAATATTTTTATTCATTTTAAATTTTTTCAGAAAAGGAGAAGTCTATCAGTGAGCTTAACTGTCAGAAATAATAATAACAATAATAATAATAATAGCAATAATAATAATAATAAATAAAGGTAACATAAATTATTTTTATTATTGCTTCAGATCGAGCCAAAGCCCAAATTACAAAAATCTATCTAGCTGAACGAAAGAAGCAATTAGAAGGTAATTCTCTCTCTCTTACTACCTTTTTTCTCTTTTTTCCTCTCTCTCTCTCCATATATTTCTCTTTCTTTTCATCCCTTTTGATTAACTTTTGTCTTGATTTGATTGTAAATTATTTAAAAATTTTTTTTTTCAAGAACAACTTTCAGGTTGGTAGACCTGACGAAATTCATCATCATCATCACCACCACCATTATCATCATCGTCGTCGTCATCATTTTCAGACGATATAAGGAATAATGTAGCACTGGCATATCCGACCGGACGAAAAACTGTCTCGGAATGGGGACCTAGTTTTGCGCAAATCTATTTGACTAAAAAATCAGAAATAGTTTCAAGTATTAATATAGTTTTTTTTTGTCAATCATTCACTCATTCATCCGTTCATTCATTCGTTCCTTCATTCATTCATTCGTTCCTTCATTCATTCATTTATTCATTCACTCACTCACTCATTCATTCATTCATTCATTCAACTAATCAATCAATGAACCATTCAAATTAATTTTCTTTTTAATGACGATCAAATGGAAACTTCTTCAACAACTACATCCGGGGAGAAATCTGGCAAGCGTAAACGCGTTAAACCGCTGTCATCAAGTAAACAAAATAATAATAATAATAAAAATAATAACAACAATAATAAAAATAATAAAACATTAATATAATTATTGTCAATTATTGTCACCCAATAATTATGTCACACCCGACCAACCTCTTCCCCCATTCTTCGACCTATAACCTAAAATCTATTATAAATGTTTAATGTTCAGTTTTAACAACAAAATACAGACAGTATGCGTGCGTTCGCATCAGGTTAACCACTCCCCATCCCCCCCCCTCCTGCCACAAACTATCACGCTGGACGAATCCCTCTCCCCACCCCCCAGCGTGACGTAATTACTGAATGGCCGCTAATATAATTATTATTTGTATTATTTTCAGAAATTAATAGACACTCCAAAAGAAGAAAAAAAACCTCACTCTCAAGAGTTTCATCAAAAGTGGCGTCAAAAATGACGTCACGAAGCAAGATTTAATAATAACAATAATAATATTATTAATATTAATATTTATTATTATTATTAAAATTATTCATAATAAATCTTTCCAAATCATGCAATCGTTCGATTCTTACGAAAAAAAAATACCAAAAATGCAATCATTAATTATAAATAATAACAATAATAATAATTAAATTATAATTTATAATTAAAAGTTTTTAATAACTACCTCTATGGCTACATTATTGGCTACTTTTAGAAATGTCATTA